TGGCAAGCGAAGAAGATAAATCGGGAAACAAAGAGTGTAGCTGGTTTGTATACCAAAAGCGCCAGCGTGGGAGAAACGAAGACAGCAATGCCAGTTGCTGCTAGGTGGGAAGAGAAGGAGAAGAGTTGAAGGAGTGGAATGGTTTGGGATTCTTTTACGACAGCAAGACTTCGACTTCTTGAATGATGTTTGGGAGAAGGGGAACAGGGAAGGTGGGGGGTCCCAAACTTTCAAGCGAGAGCAAGGGTGAGCAGAAGAGTCAAGCCATGGGAGCAAGGGCACCAAGGGGGAATAGGCACCGTGATGGGATAGGCACGAATAGGGAAGGGTGGTGGCTGGGAAGGATACCAGGTAGAGAGGGAGAGGGACAGGAGAACTACCGCTCCGGGCACTTGCCAGGCAGTCTCAGGGGTTTCAGCACCCAACACATCCTACCTAGGTACGTGGTGGACTCGATAGGTAACAGGTACTCGGTACAAACAGACATATCATATGCTTGCATATGCTCACCTGCTCAGTCACCTCGAGTTCCCCATTTGCACCATCAAACACCATCAAACACCACCTTGTCATGATTGTTGTCACATTGACAAGTCTTCTTATCAGCTCGAATCACCTACCTGACTACCTATTATGCTTTTACGAACCGCGTCCCTCTACTCTCGTCCTTCACATCCTCGCACCTCACTCGTCCAAAATGTGATGGCACACATCTTCCTCTACCAAGTGGCCTGAGTCCGTCACCTGAGCAAGTCGTCTTCTTCTACGGCTTTCCATTGTTTGCTTCCTCTCATCGTCGGTCTTACGCCCACATGGCTCACTCGTCTGGGTTGTTTCAACAGTGTCCAACCTCGCCTGGTGGGCCAGGTTCCGCATCTGCGTGTCCGTTTCAGAATCACATCTGGCGACCAACCACCGTCGACACAGCACTCCAAAAGTTTGTCCCAAACCCTCTCTCCCAAGCAATCGGGTCGTCCGTTTCCAATGCTCGATGCAGGGGTGTGCTCCAGCACTGCATCATAGTGCAGCCAAAGATCGATTCCCAAACCAGAACAAACTCGGTCCGCGAATCAGAATCGGGTGAAAATCCATTTGGGGTTGCTCCCTACGAGATGCATTGCATGTTGATTGTGGAATAATAGGGGTTTTTTTTTTTTTCATTTTATTCTTTATTGTGCTGCTACGCTTGTGGTCGCCGCAGACCCTGGTATAGCTGACAGATCACAGCATCCCCTTTTCGACCTGCTCTTTGCGCTCCTCCCATACGGTCTTCCCTGAACAGCTGCACACGGTCTTGTCATTGTCCCACACCCCGGCACTGCGAGCAATGACCCCGACCAGGGTATCTGGATCTTCGGTCTGAAACGCACCCTCTGGCTGTTGTTTCGACACGACCATGCTGCGACCGATAATCTCCCATATTGACACTGGTCGATCCAGGAATGCGCTGCCTCGTCCATCCTTGTCCACCTCCACTGTGCCAAACATTCCGCGAGGCTGTCTGAAGCCCGCTAGTTCCTTGACGGCTTCCCAGATGCCACCCGTCGAGGCTGCCCCACGTGAGATGTCACCTGTGGCCCTTATCGTGGCATGATATGTTCCCGGCGACACCCCACGTAGCGTCAGATCCACCAGTGTCCGACTGTCCGAGACTTGGACCATCCGTGCCAGGCCTCGGACGGGATCTGACACGGCTTTTGCATGAGTTTCCAGAATGCACACTCCGGCAGAGTTGGACTTCCCACTACCCCGTAAGATGGCATCTCTTCCCGTAGATTCGATGGCTGACACGATTGATGAAGGAGGAGCCGTTCCTTCAATGTAAAAAAGTTGGTCTTTGAGATTGGCTTCGATCTTGGAGATGCCTGTAAAGCAGCCAGGGTGTCAGTCCTGGACCTCGCGAGTGAAGGAATGAACGACTGTTTCGTCCAAAGTACCTTGTACTTTCTCTAGGGCGCCTGTGACATCTTGGACGCAGGACTCGCAGTGCAGAGGTACAGCGAATGTTGTCTGTGCCTTGGTCAGCATACACGGAGAAGATCGACAGGAGGCTTCTGTGCAAGTTCGGACCTGGAAGGGCTCGATTTCCACGCTTCCCATCTTGAACGTCGTGCCGGAGATCCAGAAGATCCAGAGATTAGATTAGCGATATGTTTCCTCGAAGACTAAGGTATAGAAGGCGATTCAATGTTCAGTAGTCGATGGACTGAGAAGCTCTCACGCGCTGCTTAGATGCTTGGTAATGAATCGAATATTGAAGAAGTTGTCAAATACCGCGCGACAGGCCCCCGCATCGATCCGCCACAGGCCCAGAAAGTGACGTGCGAAAACCCGGGCTTCGGAATCAAAGCCACGGCCGCGCTTTCCACATGGATTGTACTCGCAGAATCGGTTCATTCTAAGAAGATGGCACGTTACATGGCCATGGGGTTCTTGATACCTTTTTAGCGGTGAGTTGAGATGTTTTGTCCAATTTACTTATACAACGGCCACTGAATAGTTCATCGATCCTGAGCCCCTTATCCCATTGGCTCAGCCCTCCACCCTAGCAGCTTGCTCATATGAAGAAACACGCGAGCCCAAGAGCCAGAATGGGCAGCGTCATGACCAGATGTCCCGTTCCCGTCTTTTCGGCAACCTCCTTTGCTTCCTTCGAGATGCCCTCCGCATGGGCGAACTGGGTGATGACGAGCCCGTCTCCTCCAGCAATAACGGTGCCAGTCAAGAAGATGATCCCCAGGCATCTTCTGGCCGTCACGGCGGCCACTGGTGACGACTGACACAATGAGGAGAAGCGCCAGAACAATGTGATGCCCACAATGGACAATCCGCCGGCAAAGTTGCGGAGGCCGCGGGTATAGGTCTGCGCTTTTTGCCAGCTCGAAAGTTCTTTGGATGCTTGAACCGAGGACGGGACGAGGATGCCAAACAGTGTCTCCGCGTCGACTGGTGCTTTGAAGCTGTACAGCCCCGTTACAATGCCCATGGTGCCCATCAAGCCGGTGAGCACTGGGAGGGCTGAGGTTCGGATGGAAACCAGCGTGGCAGCTACATTGTTCGACGCCATTGCTTCGGGGAACAGCCGACCGAGTCTATGGCAGAGGAATAAGCGCAGACGGATTGATTGGTATTTCAACCACCACTGCGAAGAGTAGGCAATCAATAAGTGGCACAAGGAACTTTGACAGCTCAGCCCAAAGTCGCCAGATGTCTCTCAGAAAGTAGGAGAAAAGATCGTTTAGTAGCCTTCAATTAGGTTCATAGTTGTCGTCGATCTCAGCTGTTCACCCTCCCGTCCTTTGGAATGTTGTCGTTGACAGGATCGTGATCATCTGATTGGGCAGCGCATGCGAGGTTGGCTTCGTGACCCTGACGACGTCACCCCCTACAATCGCCTTGTCAACCACAATCAGCCCTTGTTTTCCAGAAAATCCACCTCGAAGCACAGGAATGGGAGATGGAGACTGACGACAGTCTTACGGAATGGGCTGTTTCCAATGGGATCAAGGTCAATGGCGTGGCAGCGCACAAATTCCCTGGCAAGGGACTGGGCATCGTCGCTAAAAGGAGGCTTGAGGTAGGTCGAACAGATTCATCGGTCTCTTTTTTTCACGCCCCTATCCTGACGGACGCCAAAAGGCTGGAGAGATGATCCTGGACATCCCCATGTCTGTAATTCGAACGGGAGAGACGGTGTCACCTGCGATGGTGAATGCGCTCCAAGGATGCAGCGCCAACGGCCGCCTTGCCGCGGACTTGGCCATGGACACATCCGACCTTCACGCCCTCTGGAGATCGACGTTGCCATCAATCGAGGACTTGAACGAGTCGATGCCGCTCTTCTGGTCACCGGAGCTCCAAGACCTCCTACCACCCCACGCGCTGGTGCTTCTGAGAAAGCAGCAGGGGAAAATCTCGCGGGACTGGGATGTCGTTTCTTCTGCCTTTCCGCAGCTATACTTTGATGTCTATCGCTACTATTGGCTTCTCGTAAGCACACGGACATTCTACTATACACCACCGGACATGAAACCCGAAGATACGCCCGAAGCGGACGAGTGTCTGGCACTGGTTCCCTTTGGTGACTACTTCAACCACTCCGACGCTGGCTGCAAGGTCGCTTATTCGGCCACGGGATACGAATTCAGAGTGGAACAGGCAGTCGAACAGGGCGAGGAGCTGTACATCTCCTACGGCAGCCACCCGAACGACTTCTTGTTGGTGGAGTATGGCTTCATGCTCCAGGCCAATAAATGGGACGAGGTCTCTCTGGACACGGTCATTTTGCCACTTTTCTCCGAGAAGCAGAAAACGAGGCTAGAAGAGGCGGGATACCTGGGTAACTACGTTCTGGATCCATCGTCGATGCAGGACGACGAGGTGGCCTGCTACCGCACACGACTGGCACTGAGATTGCTCTGTATGCCTTTGAAAAAGTGGAAGGAATGTGTCACGTATGGCGCGGATGAAGACGACGAGTATCAGAGTTCGGTCCATGAACTGCTCCAGCAAGCGTTGAAGTCATATCTAGAGACCGTGGACAGCAGCCTCGAGCAGATCGCTCGGCTCAAAGTAGGGCTTCCGTCGCAAAGAGATGTGTTGAGGCGACGCTGGGAAGAGATAGGCATGTACCTGACAACCGCCATCGATAGAATAGAGCAGTGACACGCGTACCCTCGAACTGAGTTTTAGCTTTCAAAAGTAAAACATTGTGTGTCAACGATATGAAGCGATCTCCCCGCCATTGATATTTGCGTCGTCTGATTGACGCGTTGAGATATTGCCATATTTTGACGTGATCGTCCTGTCCGCCTTTCGCGGCTCCAGAAAAAAGTTTCCCCAGTCTAACCCACACACTCACAACTACGCAACAGCTCACCTCACCAAAGTCTACACTGGCAGCCGCCGCTATGCTCCCAAAAGGTCGAATGTAGATTCGCAATTATCCCTTGCCCTCCCTCTCTCGAATCCACCGCCAGTCAACACGAAAACCTCACAACATGGTTCCAAAGCCCTCCAAATGGGCCGTCGATGACGACGAAGACGCGGCCGCTGCGCAAGCCGAGCGGAGGCGGGAGAAAGCAGAAAGAAAGCGACTCAAGGGAGACAAAGCCCGCAGTGTCGCTCCGTCAACCACCGTCACCGCTACTCCTTCTACCACCACCATCACGAGCGCGGCGCGGTACGCCTCCACGACGGATGACAATGAGCGACCAAGTAAACGTCCACGGAGATCACTGGACGAGGAAGAGAATGGAGCAGCACAGGCAACACAGCCGCAGGTGGAAAGCGAAGAGGTGGAGGAGGGCGCACACTTGCTACAGTTCCCCAGGCGGGAGTTCGGCCCTTGCGACCACGTCGGGCAGTTCGAGCAGCTGAACGATATCGAAGAAGGCTCCTACGGCGTGGTTTCGCGAGCGCGGAGGAAGACCTCTGGCGAGATCGTTGCCCTGAAGAGGCTGAAGATGGACCACACCAACGACGGCTTCCCGGTGACGGGACTACGAGAGATACAGACACTGATGGCGTGTCGGGACGCGAACGTGGTCAAGCTGCTCGAGGTGGTCATGGGCGACAGTTTGAAAGAGTAAGTCTGGCCTTCCCCATCATTGAATTCCTATTTCTTCTCCCTCCCCCCCCCCCCCCCCCCTCTGAAAAGGCATGGATAGCCAGACGATGTTAACTTGTATGGCCACGGGCGGCATCCGGGGTTCATTTTAACAGGGTCTACCTCGTGATGGAGTTCCTCGAACACGACCTTAAGACCCTCCTCGACGACATGGCCGAGCCATTCCTCCCCTCGGAGACCAAGACGCTCATGCTACAGATCGTCTCGGGCGTCGAGTACCTCCACGCGAACTGGATCCTGCATCGCGACCTCAAGACGTCGAACCTCCTCCTCAACAACCGCGGCGAGATCAAGCTGGCAGACTTTGGCATGGCGCGATACACCTCCAGACCTCCGCCGAAGCTGACCCAGCTGGTGGTGACGCTGTGGTACCGGGCACCCGAGCTGCTGCTGGGCGCGGAGGAGTACGACTTTGAAGTCGACGTGTGGAGCGTCGGGTGCATCTTCGCCGAACTGCTCACGCGGGAACCCCTGTTCCAAGGCCGCAACGAAGTCGACCAGCTCTCCAAGATCTTCATGCTCCTGGGGACCCCGACGCGGGAGTCGTGGCCGGGCTTCCGCTCCCTCCCCAACGCCAAAGCACTGCACCCTCTCCTGACGACCTCGTCCAAGACCGCGACGACGACATCGTCCCTCACGGCCTCCAAGTTTCCCTACCTCACCAGCGCCGGCCTGCGCCTCCTCTCCTCCCTCCTCTCGCTGAACCCGGCTTCGCGCCCCACGGCCGCCGACGTCCTCAACCACCCTTACTTCAGGGAAGACCCCCGCCCCAAACCCAAGGAGTTGTTCCCGACTTTCCCCAGCAAGGCCGGCCAGGAGAAGCGGCGCAAACGAGAGACGCCCCAGGCGCCCGCCCGCGGGGACGCGCCCAGGCTCGACGAGAAGGAGGTCGAGGGCATCTTCAAGGGGTGGGACACGGAGGGCGAGGAGAAGGGCGGCGGCTTTGCTCTACGCTTAGGTTAGGTTGGGTTGGGTTAGGTTAGGTTAGGCCAGGCTAGAATTGGGATTCACGAATCGAGAGAGCATTTTTCTGTCCGTCGCATACATGGCATGGGATAGGATAGGGGATACATATATGAACACCCCTGTATGGATGGATATTTCGCCCGAGGAATACGAGTAACATCGATCGGAAATGGTCGCCAGGGGGGTTCAAAACGGTTTCAATGACGGGTTTGCTGATGTGGATGCCATTCAAAACAGAAACAGATTTGGTCATCTCTTTGGAGGCGCGCGCCGCTCTATTGGATTTCTATCGAAATCGAAATCGGAGCAAATACCTCGCCTTTGGGAAGAACACACGACAGACGTCTTGATGGCTCATGCTGTGTCTTCGTGTGTCTTCCTTTATTCCTTCGTGGTGGTATTTGCTCTCACACATTCTCTCTCATCAAGTGTCTTTTTTTGGTAGTCTCTCCCACCGTGTCTCGTCTAAAAACCAAATGGTCTTGATCTTCGCACCGCGATCCACGTCCATACTCTCGTCACTCGTGTAAAAAGTCATGGCCGAACCGAACCAAACACGCACATCGATCTCTTGGTATATTATCGTTCACACTCTGGTCCTGCTCTTATATCCTCCGAAGGGGAGACAGGGGAAGTGAGGAAGAGGGGCAACGCGCCATAACGATGGGCCGCTCGCTTATGCGTCGACGTTCTCGAACAGGAAGCTGGGCTGGCCTGGAACAGCGAGCTCGGCCATCGAGGGGAGGCTCTGCCTGTTCTCGTCAGTGACACTGACGACCTTGACATCCTTACAGCCCGTATTCTTCATCAGGCCCTTCTTCATCTCGGTGAGGATGTGGACCTCGTCAAAGGGCAATTTCCGCTCAAACACGGCCTCGGGGCTCTCCTTGTTCACCACGAGTCTCCTCTTGAGCCCTTGCACAAAAGGCATCGCCTTCTTCATCTCCGGGCCCTTGCCCATCTTCGCGACCGACGCATTCAGTGCCTTGTCGTCGTCCAGGGATGCGTTCTCCAGCAGGGTTCGGACCAGGTCGACGTATTTGTCCTGCCACGCGGGGAATCGCGATGCCACGAAGATGGTGATTTGCTTCGGTTTGCGCGGGTCAAATGCCACAGCCTTGCCCTTTGCCATCTTTTTGGCCGCCTGCGCTTCTGCACTCGTGATGTTGCTAGACGTCGCCTTCACGTAGTCTCTTGTGGCGGTTAATGATGGGTCTGCTTCAGGGACATCTGTCGGCCAGCGGGCAAGCTGGATGGATTGATCTTTGTGCAAGACTTCAAGCCAAATGTACTCGGCCCAGTGAGGGGCAATGGTAGAGATCAAGAGGCATTGCAATTCGGCAAAGCGGACGACGAGGGGCCTCGACAGAGGTATGCCGCCAGAGACGCAGGCATCGCGGTAGAAGTCACGAGCCGATTGGAAGTCGTAGAGTGCTGATTTGAGGGCCAGTTTGTAGTTTGTCCTAAGGAGTGACAGTTAGCATCGTTCGGTCTGTTGTGGCACTGCCAACTTACTCGGAGTAGTGCTTGTATGCTTCATGCACCAACAGGTTCATCTCGTCCTCAAAAAGTTTGTCCCATATCACCTCTCCCTGTGTCTTGCGGAGTCCTTCGTCCTTCAGCGTATCCTCAATCCAATCCTTGAGAATGTACATCCGCATGATGGCTGCGTTGGCGCTCTTCTCTTCGAAATTCGCGTCTTCCATGCCATCTCCTGCGTCAGCAAGTGCTATCCGCGTGGCGTCAGCACCGAACTTCTTCACCGCTTGGCTCAGTGTCAAAAAGTTTCCAGTAGATTTGCTCATTTTCTCCCCGTTGAGCAAGAGGTGGCCATTTGAGCGGACGGATTTCGGCCAATATTCGCGAGGGAAAAGAGCGAGATGTATGTAGAGGAAGAATGTGAGATGGTTGGGAATCAGGTCCTTTCCAGATGATCTCAAGTCGAGAGGATACCAGTATTCAAAGGATCGTCGCATAGTTTGTAGGTCTGCAACCGATATCCTTGTCGAATCTGAGACCTTCTTGACATCGCTTGTCCGCGTGAAGATGTAATCCCACACATCATCCGTCATTTGTTCTGCCTTGATATCCAACAACCCAGGCTCCTTGCCGAATTTATCTCCGTGTAAGAAATGGGCGACCGTGTAGTATGACATGTAAATGGTGCTGTCACTCAGACTTTCCACCAAGAAGGAGGGATCCCAGGGAAGTTTAGAGCCCAGTCCATACGTCCTTGCGCATGCCCATTGGTTCAACCACTCGAGATTTGCGACGAACTGGTTTTCGGTCTCCTGAGCATACGTTTCAAGGCCGTTCTTGTCCTTTACGTAGTCCAAAACGGTTTGTTGCCACTCTTTGTCGTTCTCGCCATAATTCAGGAACCACTGTGGTACGTAGGCGACCACACACTCATCTCCACTGCGACTGATGACTTCAGCTGAAGGATCGGCAAAAGGGAATGCTTCGCCAGATGCAATCAAGGCACTTCGAACTTTGTCTTTGGCATCAGAGACCTTCTGGCCCTTGAATTCCCCGACCAACATCGTCCCGTTGTAGAAGCCTTCTTTGTATGCCAGGTCCTTTGCTTCAGCCAACAGAGTGGTGTCCTTCGGTGATTGGATCTTCTTGGTCTCGACCAAGAACTTCGCCGCAAGGTTACCGTAAGCTGGAGTATCAATAATAGGAATGATCTCCAGTTCGGCCCATTCCTTTTGGATGCCATAGAAATCTGCTTTCTTCGCCAATTCCTTGACCGTGGCAAAGTCGTCCGGACTGTCTGACGGAACTGATGTGACAACGCCTGTGCCCTTCGTTGCAGATACTGTTTCCATAGGTAATATCCGAACACCTTCTTTGTGCACCGACAGGGGCGCATTGACTAGAGTGCCCACAAAGGCAGACCCGGGCAATTCCACAACAGGCTGCAACTCGTCTTGGTTGCGGGGGAAATGCTCCTGGTCAAAGAAAGTTCCCTGAAAGGCCATGTTCCAAGCTGCTCTTTTGGTAACCACGTAATACTCTTTTTCCGATACCTTGAAAATGCCATACTTGATCTTTGGGCCAACGAAACAGCATACTTGGCCGTACATCGTCTCCGGTCTCAGCGTTGCGGGTACAAAGTAGACACTGGCGTCCTGAGGAATCTTGGATTCCACCGCCTTTGCCGCATCAGGCGACCACTCCTTGACCCGCAGCTTTAGGGCTGTGTACTCTGTTGGACCTACACCTTCACCCTTGGTCCGGTCGTGGTCCATACAGGGTTGGCCATCTTTGGGACTGTAGATCGTGTATCTCTTGCCGTACAGAATCTTGTTGAGCTCGTGCAAGCGATTCATCTGCCATCTGACAAAGGCGTCGTAATAGGGATTTGCGTCGGTGGTGACAAACTTCCTCCTCCAATCTATCCTTGCTCCGAAATCAATCAGATCTTGTTGACATATTGGCGGAAAGTATTCGAGCCAGTAGTTGGCGTCTGCGAACTTGTGGATCTCCTCCTTTGGTATTCCCATAGCCAGCATTGTTTGGAATTGGTAGTTGGCCTTGACCGTCTTCGCGGCCTGCTTGCCCTTCTTGCTCTTGAACTTTGTCAGGTCGTCCTTCACATTGACCCCTTGTGTAGGTGCGATGGGGGCTCCATTGGTATCTGGCGCAGGTTCATCCTCATCTTCATGGTAGTTTTCGAAATTTTGTCCAAACTTTTTGACATCTTCAACGAGTTTGTCCGCACATGCTTTGATCGGCATGCCTGTGCAATGAAATCCCAAGGGAAACAGCACGCGCTTTCCGGTCAAGCGGTTAAACCCTGCGGTGAACTCGACCTTGCTGACCGTAAAACTGTGCCCGGCATGTAAAGAGCCGTTCATGTACGGGTAGGCGAAGGTGCCAAAGTACTTTGGGTATTTTTCTCGAATCTCTGCGGCGGGGACCGAGTCGAAGGGGATTTCCGTGGTTGTGGGCGCATCCGACTCGAAAATCTTGCTCTCCTGCCATTGCTTTTGGTATTTCTTTTCGATCGCAATCAAGACGTCTCGATTGTGCGTCTAACAGACTTCGGTCAGTGGCAGTTCTTCCTGCTCGCGTGTGGTTGACTCACGTTTTCAAGCTTGAGAGTGTTGGCCGAGGTAAGGGTAGGGTCAACGGGAATTTGGGTCGCCATGATGGCGGAATCAAGTATCGATGGACGTATGAACCCCCCGGCGTATCGATCAGACTCAAAGTCGCTCTACAGTGTTGGGTAGAAATTACTACAAATCGGCGGCGAATGGTGGATTTCTTCCACAGCCTCGCCGCCTTTTTGCGGAGCGGAGGATTGGTCACGTGGACCCAGCCTTGCCGCTCATCACGAGACCAGGCTGAACTACCGACTGAACGTTCGACTTCCAGGATTTTACACAAGAGAGCGCCGTACTTGTACATTCATACATAGTGGGTTTTGGCTATTGTGTGGAGCTTGAGGCCCTTTATGCAGTAAAAACCGTTGTTGATGGCTTCTGGGACACAAATACTGCGTCAATTCACCACAAGGAGTACCTAGGGAAGAGGGGATCGCTGCTCGCATAGCGGTATGACGAGTTATGAATATCAGATGAATCCCCACCACGCATGCTTCCGTCGACCTTGCCATGGAAACTACAGCACCTGATGCTCCCCTAGAGCTCTGGCGCTTCCCAAGACTCTCGGTCGATTTTCATGACAGCTGACTGCTTGTGTGGAAACGTAACTTCGCCTTGCTTGTAAAACCCAGCTTCTTTCAGATAATTGATAAATCTGCATTGGGGTCTCTAGTCAGCAGCTGGTTTATTTCCAGTCTCTCGTGTGTTTGAGTGACTTACTTTGTGTTGTCGACCCTCGGCTCCAACATCACGGTCTCAGTTCGAGAGTCCGCGAGGAAGCAATAGTGTACCAGCGCGGACAACCAGACCTTGACTCGATGTGGGCCGCGGAATTCATCCTCCCCAATCAACACATGTAGTCCCCGTGTATAATTGCCAACTTCC